TATATATATGTGTGTGTGTGTGTGTGTGTGTGTGTGTGTAAAATGTACAATATATAATATATAAATATTTGTGTGTATATATAGATTACTATATAATTTGCTAGTAATTTTCACAAATAATTACTAAAAACAGCAAGTAAACGTAGAAAGACTGAAATAGTGTTTTCTTGTAAAACGTACAATAATTCTTGTTTTATTTACAACTTCAACAAATTTATTTTTAGAGTATATTATATTATATTTAGGGCTGGGCAAGTTAACGCGTTATCACGTTAAACGCATTAATTGATTAACGCAGACAATTATTTTATCACGCATTAACGCAGTTTTTTATTATTATGAACGTCCATTGCTCACTGGCTCTGAACGCATATAGGCAAACCATGGGTCACAGGAGGGGTGGGATGTTGATCAGTACTGGCTTGGGATGGGTGTCATCATGTGGAGACAGCAGAGAAGCGCTCTCGCTCAGCACAGTGAAGTGCATAGTTTTGTTAACTCTGTGGTTTATTATTTTGAGTTGTTTGTGATGTGGTAACACACGGCCCTCTCTCACAATATATTATGCTTTACAGATCTATCACTTTTGCCGCTCAGAAATGTTTACGCAATCGTGCTGCACGTATCAGAAGTTCCGCGCTCCGACACTACATGCGTACCGCACCCGAGCCCAACTGAACCGCACTCTGGCCCACCTCTTCCAACTGAGCCAGGGCCGGCTAAACGAACCGTGGCACGGAGCGATCACACTAGTCAAACGAACCGGGCTTTGGGGGTCAAAAGCGCTCAGGCACGGTTAAGATTGCTTAGTCCGAGTACATCCTTATTCTCCCGCATCCCGCACACACGAGTCTCTACCTGCCCGCACCCGCACTCGCCCATCAAGTGTTGTCCCGCGCCGCACTCTGCTGCGTTGGGTCCCGCGATCGTGCAGGTCTCCCAGGAGCTCGGAAGGAGCCTGTTATAATGTTATGATCGAGGCTCTGGACTCTGAGCATAACTTGTTTTTCTGTAACAATAACTATAAAATATTTTCTATAAAAATGTTAATGCCCTGGCAGTGGCAAATAAGCTTTTGTTTTATATTTAATTTGATTACATTATTGTTAAGTTGAGATTTACAAGAAATATTTTAACTGCTACAATGTAAAAGGAATACTGCTGTAAAAAAGCACCTTATTTGTTTAAAGTGTTTGCAAACCAAATGTTAATGCACTTTTGTTCATATAGCAGTACTTTTAACTTAAAAAAGTGCGCAATACACTACTTTTGAATTCATTATTGAATTTTGTGCATAACATTGCGATTAATCGCCATTGTTATGCACAAAATTCAATAATGATTAAAAATTGTAATCATTGCCCAGCACGTTATGTTACGTTATGTTATGTTATGTTATGTTTAGGGCTGTGCAAATAATCGAATGCGATTTTCATGCATATCTCATCAGTAAAGCCGGTTCTGTGATTAGTAGTAAATCTAATAACGGCCGCTCCATCTGAAAGCACATGCTGGAGATTTACTACTAATCACAGAACCGGCTTTACTGACGAGGTCCGCATGAAAATCGCATTCGATTATTTGCACAGCCCTAATTATATTATATTATATTATATTATATTAAAATGTTAAGTAGTCATACATCTGAGGAGTTAAGAAAAAGGGGTTAAGAAATTGAGTTAAGAAAAATTATATAATTTATTTTACAGTACAACTGTAAAGTTAAAATACTTTCTTTTTTAAATAAGCTCTTAAAGCTTCTCTTTCCTCTCTTTTGACAACAGCTGGTTTATAAGCATTTCTCATTTCTAGTTATAGATGGTTGCGTGTTGTGTTCCCAAATTAATGTTAAAAGTGATGCAAACTCACAGAGATGGAGTTTGTTTGAACTGCGCTGCTCTGAGACACTTAAAACACTGGATCATGAGCTGCTCACGTGTAAATGAATACGCTGCTGTGCCTTACTGTGAAACAGACCGTACAAGTGGGTTCTTTTGCCTTATAATAATGTGAAATAATTTCCCTTCATTCATCCCTCAGCAAACTGAGATAATCTTCAGTTTGTCCCCTCTTCTGGTTTAAGATCACCACATGATTTTTTTCTTGTTTCAGGTGGTTCCTTCAGCTCCAGTCATGGGAGATACGGACTACTCCGACCCATTCGATGCTCGTTTGGACCCGCGTCCCGAAACAGCTCAAGGCCCGATCACTCCTGAGAACAACGGCTACATGGAGCCCTACGAGGCCCAGAAAGTGATAACCGGTCAGTCAGACTTTGTTCTGTTTTTTTTGGTGTGTGTTCCCATAGCCCAGGGGAGTCTGGTTTGCCCTTTGAGTCGTATGGAGAGAATGAAGTATGAGTGTGTCTTTCTCAGTGACTCCCCAGACATCCAGTGATGTCAGACAGTGACTCACTGCTGACTCTCACAGATTACAGTTTTATATTAATGTAATCTGTTCCATTGTTTTATTCCTTACAAATTGTTGAACTTTGCCCTTCTCACTTGCTGATTTGAGAGATTTAATCTTTAAAACCTAGACATTTTAAGACATCATCAGGGAAGACTGTTCCAAAAGGTAGCCACAAATATTTGACTGTTTTCTAAGACACCTGGCCAAATCTTAAGGCAGCATTGCATGTATCGTTTGCAGTTGAAGCAGGCCCACAATGCATTGGCGGTACCAGCAGAGTCCAGAGAAATGACGATTATAACTAACTTGTGTAGAGTTGTTTAGTCATGACATCAGGTTGCTGGCCAGAATGGCTAATTTGCTATGGGTTCCCTCAGGAATTTCCTGTGGGTTTTTAGAATAGTGCTTTTTGATTTATGAGAAAATGGGGTCTGTAGTTAGCATTAGCTCAAGAGACTTCAAGAGGTTTTGTTCCACAGTGTGAATGACACAGTCATACCTCAATTTACCTAATTTCCCCTTTTTTTACATTCAGAATATCTTTGTTGTCATCTAACGCTCACTTAAAATTAAACTTTAAAAACACTAATAATTTAATAGCACTGTTAACTGAAAATGAATATAAATTTTTCATACTGTAAATTATAATGTTGTAATACCGAATTTCACTTGTATCAAAATGACTGATTTTAGATTTTGGTGTTTTAAAGTTCTCCTATTATGGGTAATGAAAGGTTCATATTTTGGTTTTGGGAGTCCCCAACAACAGGTTGACATGCATGCAAGGTCAAAAAACACTTTCATTATCTTATAATATGCATTTATTTTTACCTTATTTGCTCAACGGCTCCCAAACGATTCGCTCAACGATTCATTTTTCCAAACCCCTCGTTTGCATGATGCTAATATGCGGTGATTGGTTGGATTGGTCTCATTTTCATTTCATCCTGCCTGTAATGCCTGATAAAGCAGCGTTTGTGAGCGCAGTGCTGCTTTGTGTACAGCGTTACCGGGGAAACAGCTATTTTTACCGCTCCAAAAGCGGCACCTAGTGGCAAAGAATGAATTTGCATTTTCATTCAGACCAATGCAAAAAGACCAACAAGTAGGCAGGCAATATGCTAATGTTTCATGTTGACGTCAACATGAAACGTCTTGGGAGTCGTTTTAAAAACGACTCGTTTCAGTGATTCAGAGTCGACTCTTTCTTTTGAGAGACAATAACTTTATACACTTTCAGATTTAAAACTTTGCAGGATGTTTTCATTCACTTGGAGCGGTGTTATACACTGCATGAAAGGTAATTTTCAAAAATCCATAATAGGGGCACTTTAATGGAGCATTTTTCAATTTCTTAGTATTCGTTGTTTTAATTAACACTATTTTTAAAATGAACTTTTAAAACTATGTCGATTTGTGATTTATTTACATTTTTAGAGTGTAGTGTTTTAAATCTTCGTTGTGTTGCAGGACCCCAGTGCCATGCCTCGGCCCACCTCTCAGGACCTGGCCGGGTTCTGGGACCTGCTGCAGCTCTCCATCGATGATGTTACCTCCAAATTCAATGAGCTGCAGAAGATTAAATCCAACGATTGGAGGCTTTTTGAAAGTCCTGTGAAGAAGGTGAGAGCTGATTGGTTAGAAGTTTTGTGATGGTTGTATTTGACATCAAACCTAATTTGATGCTAGAGGTTGTACTTATAAAATAAATTCAAAAGTTTGGGGTCGTTAAGATTTTTTAAATAAATCAATACAGTGAAGACATTTATCATGTTGCAAAAAATATGTTCTTTTGAACTTTCTATTCATCAAAGAATCCTGAAAAAAAATTAACCACGGTCCCCACAAAAACATTACAAAAAAATAGTTTTCTGTTATGTTTTCAGCTTTGCCATCACAAGAATAAATTACATTTTAAAATATATAAAAAAATCAGTTTGCCACCTTGCTGTGCATAAAAGTCTTACCAATCCTTGACTTTTTAATGGTAGTGTATAGTTTATTAATTGAATTAAAAACATAATGTACCTCTAGTCTGCTGCAGATATTACTTGACACACATTTAAATGAAAAAATGAACACAATATTTGTACATTCATATCTTGTGTTTGTATATTATTTGTCATGGTTCCAGCTCCCGCCGCCAGTACCAAAGAAGACATTGCGTAAGAGTGTGACAAGGGAAAAATCTTTGGATCTCCCTGACCATCAAAGACAGGAGGCACGACGGCGCCTCATGGCGGCCAAACGCGCAGCTTCATTCCGCCAAAATTCAGAGTCGACTCTTTCTTTTGAGAGACAATAACTTTATACACGGTGCACTTTCAGATTTAAAACTTTGCAGGATGTTTTCATTCACTTGGAGCGGTGTTATACACTGCATGAAAGGTAATTTTCAAAAATCCATAATAGGGGCACTTTAATGTGTTCAGACAATTTAATTTATTCTATACAAGTGGAATATAATTTAAATATTGTCAGTTATCGGTTTATATTTATCGGCCAGAATTTTATTACCAATGCTTTCCTATTTCACATTATCTGCTGATTCAAGACCACAGCTTCCCAAGCTATTTTTTAGCTAAAATGGAAGCGGAATTTTACAGTTAGTTTATTTCTTTATTTAGAGGAATATGTTAGTGTAGCAATTAGGGATGGGCGATATCTTATCGTTTGCGATATACCGGTAAAAATTCTCCCCACGATAAGAATTAGTCTTCCTGCGATAATAACGATAAAGTCTAGTTGTTGACATATTTCTGTGTGCGACAATGCGGAGCGACATCACGGAAAGCGGACGTGAAATTGAGAAGGAGTAGCCTATATCGCTAAATGAGGAGCTCGAGCTGTAACTGGTTTGGTTAGGGCTGTACAGTGCACAAAAAATCAGTCTGAATAAATGTACTACAGTAGCACGTGTGCGATTCCCTATTAATTTGTTGTGTCTCCCAAAATGCGTAATAAACATGCTTTTAGTCCCGGTGTCCTCATATGAGGACATGTATGAAATCAACCTCCTGTTTCGTAACAAAGTTATATTTTGATTTGAAACCCCATAACATTTTCCTGAGATGTTGATTTATGACACAGTCTAAAAATTTGTCCGATTTAAATGACAATTACAAAATATTATCATATTTCCATAAGAGTGTCACTAAATTAATATCAGACATTTTTGAAGACCAAGGAGAGTGGGTGGTCATAGTGAAACATCCAAACATTTAGTATCTCTGAAAAGCCCTGAATGTGCTCTGTACAGGACATCCAGACTTAAAACTGTGGCATGTATAGTCTCAGAGAAATTCACTAAAATATAATGTCCTCATATGTGGATGCAGGGTCTCAGGAGGTTAATGCTCACCCTATTTTGGGTAAAAATAGGAAAGATAATACTTTTCTTAAAAGAAACAGGATTCCCTGAATTATCGTCATTGATATGATTATCGTAATAAATACCAGAAATATCGTGATATATTTTTAAGCCCATATCGCCCATCCCTAGTAGCAATTTGTAGTTGCGGTTAATTTCAAATGGGCTTTTAACCGGCATTGCAATTACAGACATGCCAATTTAGAGCACATTTTCTTAAAAATGCAAGTTGCTAACATGGTTGCCTGATTTGTTAAGTATGTAAACTCAGATCTTTATCGTAGCTGTAGTCCTTATTTAGCGACTTGTTAGCAGCTAGCATTTTAAAGCACACAACTGCTTCAAAATCTAAATTCAATGACTTCAATTACTTTAATTTATGTTATATAACAAAACATAACCTTATTTTACTCACGAAAACTGTTATTCTGAAAAACCATTACAAAATTTCCTCAGGCAACCAATGGCTAAAAACCGCTAATGCTAACTCTTCTGGACACAATTTCATTCGTATTCAATGTGTTAGTTAAATTCGATATAACTAACTTAAATGTTGTACCTGGTATTTGTTTGGGGTTGTATTTTCTTTACTTCTTAGAGTGTCATGACTAGCATTAGCTTAGCAGTGTGCTAACACAACTCCCATCTAGGGGTGGGCAATATGGAAAAAAATATATCACAATTTTTTTTTTTTTATATATATCACGATTCACGATTTTATCACGATTCTTTGTCATGTTGGTTTTACTATTTTGTAAGTTGTCTAAGCATTACATCCAAACTAATTTCCCTATTATAAAGACAATGCCTTTCAAGGTAAAAAAAAAAAAAATGAATGCAGATATTTAGGCCAAAGTGGGCGAAGATAGATACAAATATTTGTCATTATTTTATCTTTGTTATTAAAAATAAGAAAAAAGATACACATTACAACTACACATAATATACAAATAAAACAAACAGTGCTTTATTTTCAGTGTATTTAGCAGGAGCATTCAAGAAATTTAATGCACAAACATAAAGATAAAACACTATATAGACTGATTCCTAAAGCAACTGTATTAAAGTTTTTCAGTCAAGAATGAGTGATTTTTCTCTTTGTGTTTTGTTGTTTTATTAATGTTAAAGAAATAGTTCACCCAAAAATAAAAATTCTGTCATCTGTCTTTCAATTCTGTCATAGTGTTTTATTTTTATACCATCATTTACTCACTCAAAAGTTGTTTTAAACCTGAATTAGTTTCTTTATTCTGCTGAACATAAATGCTATTTTGAGGAACGTTTTTAAAACGAATCCAAAGCCGTTTCATGTTGACGTCAACATGAAACATTAGCATATTGCCCGCCCACTTGTTGGTCTTTTTGCTTTGGTCTGAATGAAAATGCAAATTCATTCTTTGCCACTAGGTGCCGCTTTTGGAGCGGTAAAAATAGCTGTTTCCCCGGTAACGCTGTACACAAAGCAGCACTGCGCTCACAAACGCTGCTTTATCAGGCATTACAGGCAGGATGAAATGAAAATGAGACTAATCGAACCAATCACCACAGATTAGCGTCACGCAAACGAGGGGTTTGGAAAAATGAATCGTTGGGCGAATTGTTTGGGAGTCGTTGAGCAAATATGGTAAAAATAAATGCATATTATAAGACAATGAAAGTGTTTTTTGACCTTGCATGCATGTCAACCTGTTGTTGGGGACTCCCAAAACCAAAATATGAACCTTTCATTACCCATAATAGGAGAACTTTAAAAGTTTACCTATTTTTAAGCTGCAAAAGTTGTGAGCGCTGTAGTATTATAGTTGCATAGAAAACAATGAGAAGGCATCGCAGTGAAATATGAATACGAGCTCTGTGTGAACAACCACTTAGAAGGTAGCTGTCTATATAGACAAACTTTGCAAGGTTTTGGAACACAGCTGAAATGCATTGCGTTCCTTAGATATTTTCAGGGAATTGTGTTGGATTTTCTTGCCGTAGGACCCCAGCATTCACCTTAATTTCTCCTCAGATCGGTCTTGCCTTCAAGGCAGCCTCATTTAATTTTCAATCCATCTCTACAGGTTAATCTCTTCTCTCATTCTCCATCAATTCTCAGGTACGAGGGAATCTAGCAGCCCCTCTCTCGCTCGTCACAAACGCTTAACATCAACACACACACTCCTGTAGCTCTCCCTCTCCCTCCACCTCAGGGTCTGTCCCTCAGGGCCCCTTCTTTGTCGCTATGGAGACGGCTAAAGAGCCCAATAGAAGCAGGATGTGTGAAGGTTAAAGTTTGTCTTTCTCTTGTTACTGTACGCCTGTCTGATTTCTTTCTTTCTTTCTTTCTTTCTTTCTTTCTTTCTTTCTTCCTTTCTTCCTCATTGAAGCACACATCCATGCCAGTATTCCTTTCCAGGCAGTCCGTCTCATGTCTGGTCTGTTTGGTTTCACGCTTCTCGTAATTTTTAATGTCTGGTCTGTTCGCCGAATGAAACTCAAGTGACTAATTCATGGATGTCTTTGTAAATTAGCATTTAGGGTTGAAAAGATTAAGAGAATGTTCCGATTTCTCTACAGCTTTGAATCAACAACATTTGTGTTCGTTATAGTGTCTATTAAATATGGTGTTTGCACAATATATCGATTCCATATAGGTTTTTAACCGATATTAAAATTCTTTTGATTTAATGTATTGATTAAAATTGGATATTTTACTGTGCATGCCAGTGTTGTTATACTTTTACTAAAGCTTTTACATTTTTTGAAATAAAATAAAATATAAATATTTAATTAAAAACTTAAACTTTAAAAGCTTAAATGAATATTAGAAATGTTCCCCTAACTGAAATAAACCAAGTTAAAGTACTATAATTACTAAAACTTGAACTAAAATTAAAATGAAACTGAAAATATAAAAACAAAAGCCAATTTAATAGCTTTAAATAAAATTTAAATACTACATAAATAATACTAAAATTACATGTTTAGATTTCCTTTGCCATTATCTAAAACTTAATATACAGTTAATATCTTAAAAAATAATAAATTAATAACACAAGCTAAATAACAATTTAAATGTAATCTTTAGCAAATCTCAAAATGTATATCAATTTTTCACGCTGTACATAATCATTGATAAACCTTTGTTAAAAAAAATTTAGATTTTTTTTTTTTTTAATTTTAGTTTGAAGGTAAAGTTTTAGTAGTTTTGTTGTGTGTTTTTATTGTATTCGTTTTTTTTTTAAGTTTTAGTTATTTTAGTACTTATTTTATTTCAGCTAGTTGGCAAGGCAAAATTTCTTTATTACATTATTACATAAAATATTTTCAAATTATTTTAGTTTTAGCTAACAATAGTAACCCTGATTCTGCAATTCACTAGCATTTAAAATGATAGAATTTTGTAATTAGTGTTTTATGTTTAATTTATTTAAACAAAATATTTTATAATTTTAATATCAGGTATCGAATAAATAATTATCAGTTTATCGGTATTGGCCAGAATTATATTGGGATCAACCAGAGTTTTAATGCCACTGTCTCGCTAGTTCACTCTGATTCAAGTCAAAAATTTAGCAAGCAAACTTGAGCTAAAATGAAAGCATGATATTTCTCAAAACATTTTGTAGTTGCAGTTCTTTTCATATAGGCTTTTAACCGCATGTTATTTTTGCTGAAAAGCACTTGAAGGTCATTCAGACATCCTGTTGTTTGGTGCTTGTCGTTTGAGAGGTATGATAATGGAAATAAAAATCCCCATCAGGAGAGATGAGAGACCCCAGTCCTTGAGATTGGACTGGGTCTGCGCACACGCACACACTCACGCACACACTCGCATCTCTTTCTCTCTTTGTTAAACCCTCCCGTATGAAGCGGGCAAGCTGTGCAAACACAATTTGTCTCTCCTTCAGATTCATACCCTGCCACTCTTCACCAGACATTTTCATAATTAATGTGGCCCAGGCGAGGGAGCCCAGCTGTGGAGCCCAGGGAATATATCGATTTATTGTTGTCTTGATTTAACAGCGCGGCCTGTCTCACACCGTTTTTTAATGAACACATGCCACAATAAAACTTCTAGAAGATGCCTGAATCAGCTTTCAAACACAACTGTCATGACAATAATCTTACAAAGCCAGATATTGGACTATCAACACTAGCAACGAACTGCACTTGGATATGCCATGTGACTGACACACAATGTGAATGACCACAGTTTGGTTTTGTTTAAAGAAATAGTTCCCCCAAAAATGAAAATGTACTCACTGTCAGGATATCCAAAATGTAGATGTTTGTTTTTTTGTTTTTTTCATTGGAACAGATTTGGAGAAATGTAGCAGTACATCACTTGCTCACCAATGGATGCTCTGCAGTGAATGGGTGCCGTCAAAATGAGAGTCCAAACAGCTGATAAAAACATCACAATAATCCACATGTAACTCCAGTCATCAGTGAACATCTTGTGAAGCAAAAGCTGTGTGTTTGTGAGAAACAAATCCATCAAGATGTTTTTAACTTCAAACGGTTTCTTTCAGCTAAAATACGAGTCATTTCTCAATGTTATTGCTTTCTCCGGTGTAAAAGTTGTCCTATCTAAATCAGGAGAGGAATATGCACAGCATGGTGATGGAGTTGTTACTTAAAAACCTCCGGCTTTTTGCCTCACTAGATGTTAATTAATGGACTGGAGTGGTGTGGATTGTGATGTTTTTATCAGCTGTTTGGACTCTCATTCTGATGGCACCCATTCACTACAGAGCATCCATTGGTGAGCAAGTGATGTAAAGCTAAACTTCTCCAAATCTGTTCTGATGAAAAACCTACTCTTCTACATTTTGGATGGCATTATAACATTTCATTTGGGAAAGTTTATAACAGGTTTGTTTGGTGTTGCAGAGCTGCAGAGGAGAGCTGGTGGTGGAGCAGGAGGATGGGGGAGAGGGGAGGTCCAGCTCTATGACACCCCATATGAGGAGCGCGTCCCAGGGCAGCCGGATCTGCCTGAGGAAGGGAGGGAGAGCAGGCTGCCACAGGACGACGAGAGGCCCGCTGACGAATACGACCAACCGTGGGAGTGGAAGAAGGAACACATCTCCAAGGCTTTTGCAGGTAAACCGACTAGCCGTTTTAACTTGCTTGGTTTTATGTGTCATCTGAGTTTGAGGGGGAAAAATTAAAGTTGTCTATTCTTCAGACTTCATTAAGTTTTTTATTAAAAGTTATTGTTAAATTTCTCATTTAAACGTTCATTACAGATTGTGAATTATATAGTGCTTTTTTTTTTTATTACCTTACTGATGTTCTTTTAAATTACATTTTTAAATAAAATATGCATAGTTATATATTAATTAAAAAATGTAAAGGAAAGAATTTTAAAAGTGAAAGTTTAATGAAGTAAATGAATAAAAGAAAATTACTAAATATTTCTCCACAATGACATCCAAAAGATTTGTTTGCAACAGTAGATTTAGGTGAAGGATTCTTTTACATTTTTAAATAAAAATAAAATAAATTAAATATTTATTTAAATGTTTAAAAGTAATTTATTAATAAAAATAATTATAAAAACAATCAATAAAAAAAATATATATATATATATATATACAGATTTGTGAAAATTAATTGTGAGCAGCATGTCCTAATAAAAAAAACAAATAAATAAAAATGAGAAAGAATTAACATAAAATAATTACATAATTTAAAATAAAGTAATAAGAACTATTCAAAATTACATTAATAATGAATGCATATTAATTCGTTTACTCATTCATTTTTTTGTATCAGTGAGATTAAGGTAAGTGTTTTTAAATGACATTTCTAAATAAAAATTAAATAAATAAAATATGTATTTAAAAAAAAAAAGCTTAAAAGTAAATTAATGTAGTACTTTAAAGAAGAAAAAAAAAAGAAAGAAAGTACTGGAAATGACTAAATAGACGGATGGCACGTCTCCACAGCACCATCCAATGGATTCATCCAACGTAACTGCCAAATTTGAGGTGAAGGATTCAGTGGGAAAGTATTTTTCATTGTTGCCTGCAGCAGAAAAAGGCGCAAAGGAAAATCAATCTGATTAAATCGTTCAATATCGTATTTCACTTGCAAACACGCTACATTATGGAAGTAAAACGGTTGCGAATGCTGTTTCATGTTGATTCTGTTTCATGTCCTACCACTGATCTGAGGCCAGTTTTATAGATCTCTTGATAATGATTTAAAGTGTTTTGGAAACAGAAGCCTTGAAGGGCAATTAGGAACCACAGAAGAAACAATACAGCCTGTAGGAATCAATTCTTCTTACTTCATTTATGTTTCATTGCGTTCTTTGGTATATTTTGGTTTAGGTAATTAGCATTTTTGGTTTTTGGTGGCAGAGGGATGTGAAAAGCGCTCCATATGGATGTTATTGGATCCAGTGAATGTGGCCCCGTGTGAAAGCAGTGCCGTGGGGCCAATCCTGTTTAATTGAGCTGTATCTCTGCGTCAGGGGTCAAGGTGACACTGGAATAAATCATCCCCCGCCTGGCTCACCATGCACGCATACACACACACAAACACACACTTTTTTTCCCATTAATTAAGGACTTTCTCAGCATGTCTGAGCATCAGTACAGCAGAACCAGTGGTCAGCAGTGCCATGCATGAGCACAGCACTTCCCAACATCGAAACTGCAATGGTTTACTGCTGCAGAAGCACTCTGTATTTTTAGCTGAGAGACAGAAAGTGAGCGCAAGGGGCCCGTGGTAACTGCTGATGTGACGACCTGCTTTTGTAGCACAGAAATAAAGAAAGAAAATAATTAATAAATGCCATGATTGCATATTGTGTGAGCTATAAAAATGGCATCTGATCCTGGTCTGATGGACCCTGATTATTTAGGGCTTCCTTAAGACTGACTAGTCAAAAGGAAGTGGTCATACATTTCATACTATTTGGCATTCTGTGTGTTGGCACATGCAAACAATTTTTAATTATCCTAAAGATATCACCTCATTTGTAGAGGTTTTAATCGATTTTTTAATTTTTTCTGTTTTATTAATTGTTAATTGTATAAATTTGATATTTTTTGGAATGAATGAATGAATTACAAATACATACACATTAAAATAATGTAAAAAAAATAAAAATTCAAATTAAATTCATTCATTCATTCATTCTGTGCGCAAATGGTTTCCACAGTGCCATCTCTTCATTCTCTTCAGCATCATCCTTTTTTTTTACATTTGAATAACCGAATAATGAAAAATAAATATAAATAATGAATAATGAAAATAAATATACACATTAAAATAATTTAAGAAGAAATATTTCAAAGTAAATTAATAAATAATGCATTTAGTTAACAATGAGTTTAGTTAATCATTCTGTGGGCCGCTCATCTCTAGTGTCTTCTTATTTTAGTTTTAATTACTCTTTTTAAATAAATTACACTTAGTAAATAATCAAATTTAAATATCAAATAAAATATACAAAATGACATAATTTAAAATGAAATATTCAAAAATAAATTATTAATGAATGCATTCATTCCTTCTCCAGAAGGCCATATAATGGGTTCGCTTGTAACTGCAAGATTTGTGTGAGGGGTTCAACTGAAATGAATTTTTCGACTGAGCAAATGAAAATCAATATGATTAAATAGCTGAATATCGTATTTTAATTGGAAATGTGCCATTTTACAAGTAAAATGGGTTTCAAGTAGAATCTGTTTCATATACTACTGATTTGAGGCCAGTTTTATAGATGACTGGATAATGAATTAAACCAGTGTTTTTGAAATCGAGGTCTTTGTTAAGACCAACTAGTCAACTAATTGTCCAATATTTGTACTTGGACATTTTCTAGTAGCTGCACAGCTCCACCACTGAATAGCGATGCTGAAAGCTCTTGTGTGTGTTGGTGCGAGTGAAGAGATTTGTGTGCAGAGACGGGGTGATGGTGAGGAGGGGGCTATAGCCTTATGAGTGGAGGGCCGCAATCAGTCACACACTGACACCTCCGCTCTCCTTCAACCTCCCTCCCTCTCTCACCCTTTCAGCTCTGACAGGTTTGTCCTCCTGCAGTGCTGACACACTCGGGCTGATAAACCACCGCAGGGGTGCAGGGGCATCTCCATCCACCTCCTCCCCCATCTACCCCTCCAGCAGTGGTTATTATCACACTCAGGGGAGAACGGAGTGAAAAAGATGACTGGACTGAGAGCAGGATGAGCTGAGGGGGACAGAGAGACAGAAGGACACATTAAAGCATCTTTAGCACATATACAGCCATTTTCAATTTGAGAAATGGTCTGTGATTGGACCATTTTAAAACCTTCAGACAATCAGAAGCTCAGTTACTATAGATGAAACATTAATTGCATTATGTTTTATTTGCCAAAGTGGTATGGCTAAATTCTAAGGGGCGTTCAACTAAAAACTGAAAACCTAAAATGCGTTCTGGCCATTTATTTATGCAACAACATTGTTTTGGGAGCCTGAAAACAAATTTTTGAAAATGACACAATGTAAATTTGTGAAAATGGTGACGTCATGTCCTTGCTTTTTACATGTTTGCATAGTGTTTGTTTACCAAGTGACATCGCCAACTACTGGCCTGTTTGTTTACTAAGTGACATCGCCAACTACTGACCTGTAGCATGAAGCCGGTTTCAGTTTTTACCCAGGTAAGTTCACATTTAGTTTGAGTAAACTCTGAGTTTTCGGGCTTAAAGGGATAATTTCACCCAAAAATGAAAATTTGATGTTTATCTGCTTACCCCCAGGGCATCCAAGATGTAGGTGACTTTGTTTCTTCAGTATAACACAAATGGAGATTTTTAACTCAAACGGTTGCAGTCTGTTCAGACATTGCGGTGAAAATCAGAGGTAAAAAACGATATAAATACTGTTCAGTCTCTTGCACAGACTGATCGTTTTGTGTCTTTTCACATCAATGTATCGTCATGAGCCGCAGGGTTTAATTTGGTTTTGTTTGTGTATGTTTTTTGACTCCCAAAGCCATGATTCCCATCCACTTCCATTATATGACTGACAGACTGCAACGGTTTGATTTAAAAATCTCTGTTTGTGTTCTACTGAAGAAACAAAGTCACCTACATTTTTGGGTGAACTATCCCTTTAAGAAGGTGGGTTGGTTGGTTTCGTCGCCATGGTAACTTATGCTACATGGCTACCCTGCTCCGGAGCAGGTTATATATTATATAATTTATAAATATATACATGTAAATAAATGTAAATATTTTCAAAATATATACTGTATGTGTGTGTCTTTATATACATAATATACACAGTACACGCACATATATGATGTAAACAACAACTTTTATTTTGGATGCGATTAATCGTTTGACAGCACATATATATAGACTATATACAGTATATAGTCTATATATACAGTATACATATATTTCTGAATAATTATAATATAAATAAAACATAAAATACAAAATAATATGAATGTAAAAATAAGGAAATACGCTGTTAATAATTGTAATAAAAAAACAATTATTGAAATTTTAAATGTTACACCCATATAGTGATATCAGTGAAAAATGATAATCTAAATAAAAAAACAACACAAATTGAAATTAAATGAAACAATATATTTTTGCAATGTAAAAATTGTATTATGTGTTTAATAAATATATAAAAAAACTAAACTATTTATAATATAAAAATCAAGGAATATGCTATTAAACTGTAAAATATGCTATTAAACTATAAACTAAAATTACAAAAACATTTATAATATATATATATATATATGTGTGTGTAAATGTATAGCTGTTTCCCAGGTAACGGCTGTACACAAAGCAGCACTGCGCTCACAAACACTGCTTTATCAGGCATTACAGGCAGGATGAAATGAAAATGAAATCGACCAATCACCGCAGATTAGTCTCATGCAAACGAGGGGTTTGGAAAAATGAATCGTTGAGCGAATCGTTTGGCAGTCATTAAGCAAATAAGGTAGAAATAAATGCATATTTTAAGACAATGAAAGTGTTTTTTGACCTTGCATGCATGTCAACCTGTTGTTGGGGACTCCCAAAACCAAAATATGAACCTTTCATAACCCATAATAGGGGCACTTTAAACAATTGTTTGTTACTACATACCTCCTGTAATTTCAAGTCAATCAGATCAGTGCACTGAGATATGAGTATCCATGTGTTTCCACTGTCTGGCGGCCATTTTGAAAGCTGTCTGAAAACATTCACCAAAAGAGTAGCTCCTTAAATGTGCATTTTTTAGATGTTTAAGCCTTTATTTTGGGTACGTTTCACTACTTACTGTAAAATTAAGAGATTAATGTTTAGACTTTTGCAGATTATAACCTGGAACTTGGATGTGGGAAATAATTACATTAGATACAAAAGATAGTTTTAGCAGCATAGCGCAGATGCTACAGAACACAATTAGCTGACTAACTGTATAAGATTGTGTGCTACGCTAATATATTACTTAGAAGATGGGTTGGTTTTGAGCAGGTTTCGTCGCCATGGTAACTTATGCTACATGGCTACCCTGCTCCGGAGCAGGTTTTATTCTGGGTTAGAGATCACAAATCCAAACTGGACCAATCAGATGTGAGCAAAGGGACATATATCTGATGGAATGAAGCCACTCGCCCGTATCTCTCGCTCCAAATTAAAGCAGTTTACAGTCAAAAGAATTTTAGAGACAAAATTGCCCGACTTTCGCAGCTAAACAATTGTAATTGTTTATAATTCATATAATATATTCATATCATTATTATATGAAGTGGCAATTAATTTTAAGCTTCGTATTTAATTATAAGACAATGAAAGTGTTTTTTGACCTTGCATGCATGTCAACCTGTTGTTGGGGACTCCCAAAACCAAAATATGAACCTTTCATAACCCATAATAGGGGCACTTTAAACAATTGTTTGTTACTACATACCTCCTGTAATTTCAAGTCAATCAGATCAGTGCACTGAGATATGAGTATCCATGTGTTTCCACTGTCTGGCGGCCATTTTGAAAGCTGTCTGAAAACATTCACCAAAAGAGTAGCTCCTTAAATGTGCATTTTTTAGATGTTTAAGCCTTTATTTTGGGTACGTTTCACTACTTACTGTAAAATTAAGAGATTAATGTTTAGACTTTTGCAGATTATAACCTGGAACTTGGATGTGGGTAATAATTACAGTTAGATCCAAAAGATAGTTTTAGCAACACAGCGCAGATGCTACAGAACACAGTTAGCTGATTAGCTATATAAAACTGTGTGCCAAGCTATAGAGCTGCACGACTATGACAAAAATCTTCACTACTTATTGTAAAATTAAGAGATTAATGTTTAGACTTTTGCAGATTATAACCTGGAACTTGGATGTGGGAAATAATTACATTAGATACAAAAGATAGTTTTAGCAGCATAGCGCAGATGCTACAGGACACAGTTAGCTGACTAACTGTATAAGATTGTGTGCTACACTAATATATTACTTCACAGGCATTACTGGCTTGTACTTTTAAATCCATAATATTATAAATTGTCAGTTTATTGCTGGTCTGTGGTTTTACAGTGCTGTAATTTTTAAAGATTTCATGTTATTGTAAGGTGAGCTTAACCCTTAAATGCATGAATGTTTTGCCAATCATTATTACATATTCAGGTTTAGCGACCCAGACCTCTATATCCAGCACGGATGGATCTCTAACTGCTGCAATAGCAAAGAAACTCTTGATATTTTAAGAAGAATTACAGAAGAATAAAATAAAGCATATTTCGTTACCTTTTGAAACTTAAAAGGGTTCAATTTGAGCAGATGGTTTTACCATCGCTGTCATCGTCAGAGCACACTTCCACAGTAGCCGAAAGTTGATGTCTAACTTTAAAAAATGAAGGAGGGAGAGGGTAGAGAATGATGTCCCGGGTCGCAAAAGACCCGAGGTATGCATTTAAGGGTTAAAGGGTACACTACTATGAACTTCAGCTTCAGTGTGACATCAATAAGAAAAAGTGTAATTTCATAGATATTGTTAATGATAGTTGTTCATAATAAAATATGTATGAACTTAATACATGACCTAGATTATTTATTTTGCAAAATATTGTCATTTTAATAAATATTACATGAAATTTATTAAAAATTGTTGCTGTTAAGCTCGGTGTGCTCTCTTTAAGCTCTTCCACACTGAACGTCTATGTAAATACTCCAGAAACAGACTTTACAGATAAACTGATGGTTTTCACTTTAATTTAATCTTTATAAAATGGTTAATAACTTATTTTCACAGCTTTAAGATGACAAAATTGAGACCTAACTATAGTTTTTATGCCCAAAGATGAAAGAGGCATGTCGTCCGTACAATGAAGGAGCCATCAGAAACCTGCTGTATCTGTCCAGGAAAAAAGCAGCTAAAGGCTGGAATACACTACATGACTTTTAAAATCTGAACTGATTTTTAAAACACCAGGCATCATACACTTACAGACTTTGTAAATAGTCACAAAGGAAAACTGGCCATCATACACTAAACGACTGAGGATCTCACACTAGCAGACTTTAAAATCCTTCCTATCACAACAAACTCAGGCAGAAATGTGCGCATTGTTGCTAGGAGACGCATGACAAATGAAAACAGTGTGTTTTAAAATCTGCTGAAAATATCAAACATGTTTGATCTCCTCTGACTGGATGGAATCAAAGTCTGAAGCTAAAAAATCAGAGTCTGTGACCATCATACACTACGCAATTTTCTTTGGAATCAGTCGACTCAAATCTGCAGACTGGCTCTGGCCTTTGGCAACTAGTGTCAACTTCTCCAGACTGTAAATCTGTGGAAAATCGGGGCAAAAATCGTGCAGTGTATTCCAGCCTTAAGAGACGATAGATAAGTTGACATCCATTTAGTAAGAGGCTTCATAATGAGGCTAGTTTCTGTGTTCATCCCCATGAATGAAATGTTTTATTGGTTTGTTTTATTTGATTTTTGAATGTGTTACTTAGCTGAATGTGGATTAGTATAGATTTTGCAATGTGCTTAAATGACACTTCACTATGAATTTTTCAATTATTCTTTAAAAAGGTTGTTTAAAATAAACAAGAATTTTTAATAAAACATGATGTGAGCTTAATGGGAACAGGGGTGTGCTTAAAGGGTACAGAAATGTA